CACTTTAGCAAGTATCATTGGTTGCAGCCCCTGAAGAAATTCACCTCAGCTGTGATACAAAAATTTCTTCTTGAACAAATTTTCCATTGTTTTGGTGTGCCACAAACTATAATAAGTGACAACGGCACCCAGTTCAAAGCTCGTGAGTTCAATGCCTTCTTAGCCGAACTTGGCATTAAACATCTGTATACAGCTCTATATTCACCGCAGAGCAATGCTGCAGAACGAGTTAACCGCTCAATACTCGCCGCCATTCGCTCGTATTTAAAACAGGATCAGACCCATTGGGATGAACATATTACAGGGATTTCATGCTCCTTAAGGTCTGCTCTGCACCAATCGATTGGGTGTTCTCCATACCGTGCCCTATTCGGGGTGGATATGATCACTCATGGTACCGATTACAAATTATTGAAGGAGTTGTCCTTATTGGAAGAACCGCAGGCCCCCCTGTTGCGGTCTGACCATTTGGCATTGCTAAGGACAGATATTCAGAAAAACATCAGGAAAGCCTATGAGCGCAATGCGGCTCAATATAATTTACGCAGCAAGCCTGTTTCTTTTCGTGAAGGACAGGAGGTGTTCTGTCGAAATTTTGCGCTTAGTAAATTCTCACACAATTTTAATGCTAAACTGGCTCCCCAGTTTATTAAATGCCGTGTCAAAAAGAAACTCGGAAATTGTTTTTATTCCCTTGAAAATCAGCAAGGAAAAGAAATTGGTACTTTTCATGCCAAGGACATTAGAGTCTAATTCCCGCTAATATACCCGTCTAACGGTAGGATATTATCGGGTGGTGTAATGGTCGCAGTTTTCCTATTTAAATTAAACCGCGTAAGCGATCCTAACAGCTTGCGTTTGTGTAACGACGCTATAGCGATCAGCTTTTGTCTGTCATGGTCAGCTGCGAATGAGTCAGCCGCTGCTATAAACCGCCTGCGTGCACGTTGGCAGCGCAGCTATCTTCCCTCTAATCCGGGAAAGAAAAAAGCTCTGAGACCCTATATAAGCCTGCAGGTCCCGGATATAACCCTTTTTTTTTTTTCAAAAGTTACTTTACCATCGAAGGTCTGGCTACGGCGGTGCGGACATAGCCCCACCAAAATATTAATCTAAAAGCAACAAGTTCGGGCATCAGTCGTTTAATTCGTTTAATTTAAATTCCAACTAAATTGAACCAAAAACAACAAAAAAAATAAAAAGAAAAACCCTAAAAGTAACCGATTGGCGAAATAAATTTTTTTGTTCATTTGATGATAACCTTTCGCTCCGCCACCCGGCCACCAGCACCTCACCGGCATATATTTCTTTGTGCCAAGATCTGGTCACAGTTTTAACCAGTTCTTGCTTGCCTGCCGAAAGTAATTTTTGGAGGAATAAATCTTGCCGCCGCCGTCTCTGACAGAAAAACCCACTTATTTTGAGGCAGCCGCCACGTGTGCCAATTGGACGGCACTGTAATTTCTTGGGACGGCAATGACATTTCTGCCCCCATTAAATAGACGTCAGCCTCAACGGCGGATCAGCTGCCATACCCTTGCTCATGCCAGCAAGGGCAGGCGCCGTTTCCACAGTTTGGAATCCGGAAGAGGCAGTAGCCTTCTGGGCCCCATTGACGCGCCGCTGATCAGAAGCCCAGATGACATCGCCAATTAAGTTGGCCGGAGCGTGCAGATGCATGAAAATTGCTGTTAAATGTTTTTAGTAAAAAAATTGTTAACTAAATCTTGTGAGAGACTTCCAAAAGTTTGTGAAAAGTGCATTTATTAGGCCCTCAAAAAACCGCGTGCAAGTGCAGTGAAAAAGAAAAATTGACATCTATATACATAGCTTTATATATATAGAAAGGAATACTAGTATAAATCTATCCCCCTTCTTGTAGAGTCCAAAGTCATTTCAGAATTTTTTTTATATTTTTTTTCCCACTTATTTTCGGAGAGTATCTTCTTAGTACTCACAATTTAAAAACCCTCCTGTGCCATAATAATATAATCAAAACAATTTAAAGCCCCACAGAAGACAAAAGAAAACAAATGAAAAAAAAATTAAATAAAATTTGCTGCAAACTCTCCGCTGGAAGGCCTTTCATCGAGGAATACATGTAAGTTTTTAACCTTTTGTTTTGAGTATATTTTCTTATTTTGGCACAGATAAGCACAGCCAAACTGACATGCGCACCTGCTGAGTTTTTTTTACTTTCTGTTTCACATTACGCTTTAGCTCCGATCAATATGTTTATGACCGTGTCAGTCTGGTGAATGCTTATCATCTTTGATTCTACCTACACCCCGCTCAATTACTAGCTGAAACAGAAGCAACCTAAAAGAAAAGATTTTTAACAGAATCAAATATATGTACACAAAGATGTATCATCGTATTCACCGATCAGCTGGTTGCGCTGCGCTCCGATTTGCCCATGCGCTTTGAGCTTAACCTTCTGTTGCCCATATTTTTTTCGACCATACAATTAACCATCAACTACAATTGTATTGACTCTATTATAATAACTTTTTTTTTTGCTTTTGCCGAATACACTTTAGTTCAATTTACGAATGTCATTTTTTTCTTACCTAGCTATATTCTATAATTATTAAAATGCACTTTAGCGAAATTTGGAGAGTTTCTTTTTGATCAATAAGAAAAAAAAATATTAACTGAATAGTTTATAAAATGAATTATTTTTGAAGAATCTTTGAGACATTGTAAAAATATTAACGGACTAGTTTTAGTTACTGAATTATTGTTGAATCATTAATGCCACTTGTAATAAGATGCAGATTATCTAACGGAAGGATTCAGTTTCATTGAATAATGCTTTTGTTTATAATAAATATTAATTACGGATTTTGATTATGAATTGCTAAGTTTTCTTTCCTGGTGACATGGTGATATAATGTAGTAGAAGAATGTTTTTTTTGGGATCTTCAAAACCTTAAACGCTGAAGATCATGGTTGGGAGGGTATCGAACGCGAGAGTCAGCTTACATCCAAGACTTCGCCTCTTCGGAATATATATGCCCTAATGAAAGCTATCACCATTGTATTGGCACTTTAAGTGCTCGTTAAGTTATGCCTGTTTGAGATTTTGTTTCTGCGGAGTATCGGTCTCCAATTTAGATTCTGTAGGGATCCTAAAATAAAATTGTGTATGCAGGTCGAGACATGGCAAAAAGAACCCCCCCACCCGAAAGAGCTAGGGAACAAGAGGATCCCGCCCTGCCATGCTAACTCAACCACGAGGGGCCTCGGTGACTACTTCCCGAATTATTTTGTGAAGATTGGCTGCCAACCGCCGTCACCGTTGCTACCCGATATGTATTGCTAGAGTAGCTTCACCACAGTACTTGCCACAGTGTTTAAAGAATAAAGAATATTAACATTGTCAGGAACATAAAATCCAGAAGTTACTCGTAGCAACCGGAGTCCCACGAGGAAACTAACTTAGCAGATCTTAAAAAATAAAATATCTCCGTTTAAGATATTAATAGGAAGGAGTATAAGAACTAAGCATGAGAAAGAATTGGAAAAGCTAGTAGAGGAAGAGTATTTGCTAGAGTTGCAGGGGAAAACAAGTAAGAGGTTCTAGTCGGGAGCTCCCGACTAGGGGATACCCTGAACTCTCTTCTTTCAACACCAAATGCAAATATATATACTATTCTAGAAGCTACATGTCAGCTTTAGTATGGTGACTCAAGCTCTTATTATTTACCAAAATTGCTAAAAAAACAGGATGTCGATATCGATTCTTATCGATTACTTGGAAACGGAGCAAGTTATCGATTATCGGAAACAAACTCGATCTGCGTAGGCACTAGCAGGACCTACAGCTTAAATTTCAAGTCTCTAGATCTTATAGGTTCTGATCCTTACTTTCATACATACGGACAGACGGACGGACAGATGACGGACATGTCTAGATCGACTCGACTGTTGATGCTGATCAAGAATATATATACTTTATGGGGTCGGAGATGCTGACTTCTACCTGTTACATACATTTACATTTTGCACAAATACAATATACCCTTTTTACCCGTTTTTAATGGGTTAAGAGTATAAAAAACTTGAAAAAGGCTTAGTACAATTATGCAATTATGTAGTTATGCACTTATGCTCCAAAGGAGTAGTATCCATCATTTTTTATAGTGTTTGGATAAGAGAAATAGAAGCACAGACGCATCATAAAGTAAACAGGAAGCGGCGTACCAATTTGCGTATGATTATAAGTACGACTTTGAATATACACGTATGTATGTATAGGAAGAACGAATTTCAGCATATCGTTTACCTGGAAACAAAGCTAAAAATAAAGTTTCTCAATAATATTAAGAGCGGGGGAAGGCATCCAAAAAATTTAGTTTTCTGAATCTGTATCTGCCTTACGACAGCCTACACACAAGCCTTGGTATCCTCGGCTTTTATCCTATATATAAACCTAATCTAAAAATCCTTAAGTTTTGATATACGAAAATCTATGTTTCAAGCTTCAAATCTCTCATATATAGCTTTCAAGATCGATGTGATGATAAATACGGAGAGACAGACGTACATGGCTATATTCACCTGGCTTGTCGTCCTAGTCAAGTACCATATACATATATATATATACATATATGTGCCCCTGTACTTTATAGGGTTGGAATGTCTTCCTTCTGCCTGTAACTTACATTTGAACAAAATTAATTTAGTTGCACGCAACAAATACTGCGTTTCAAAAATGTCGTTGTTATTGGCGACGTGGGTACAATTTAAGCAGAACCACTTGTACCACTGTTTATTTACATTCACAGTATGTATGAATATGAATATGCACAGACCTAGTTACATTCATACAATAACACATGCATACATGTTGAGCTGCGCTGGCTAGTTATCGTTAAAAGCGCCATGGAGCCGAGCCTCCAAGCAGTCAGTTTCGGTCTCTCGCTCTTTTTACTTACTCATTCGCAGCTGGCGTTGGGGCCGCGGTCGCTCTAGCCCGGCTGCTAGAGATACAATGGAACGAGGCAACGACAGTCTGTGTCTATGCTTAGACCTCGATAGTTGGGCGCGGCGAGTAGTTCGTGTAAACGTGACCGAATACGCAAATCCAAGATCGACTTAAACGGCGACTGCCCTCGGCCCCCTTTTCAATTCCCTACATACATAAAAGCGTTTGCGCTCTTCCACTGTGACTGGTGTGCGTGCATCAGCTGTTGACAAATTAATGAGCACTGCTTGGCCTTAGTCGACTTTCGGCTTGGCAATCAAAACGGTAATAACAAAATCACGTCAGCTCACACTTGCTGCTTATATATATATATATATGTGAACATGCATGTATGTGTGACAACATGTTTATGTGTTTATATGCACTACATAAATACATACAACGCGTCAATAATCGAATTTGCAATTGAACCAACTACAAAATAAAAAATCTATTTTGATTACCGAGTTGTGCGCTAGAGTGATTTACATAATTTGATGGTCGCGCCATTTTTCTAAACATCATGCAAAAACACATACGTATACTATATATGTACATTAAATATACACGGCTGCTACTTGAATAGAACCCATTGAGGATTGGTAAAAAGGATGGCTTAGGGTATTTTCTAGTCGGGGTCTTATTATCTAAAATAAATTTTTAAATGTTTTGTTTCGTATGAATGGGCAGTATGTACGGCTAGAACTTTAGTAGTGCATGTTTGCATTGTTTGATTGTGTACACTGCAAAACAATAAAAAAATCAATACTATCAAATAGTTATTTAAAAACCAAAACAAAAATATCAAATGTACCTACATACATATTTAACATATGTGCCAGCCGTGCACACTTACATACATACATTCGTATACAAAAATATATTTTTAAAAAATCTTTAAAACAAAAGCTACTTTTGTGTGTTCATATACAAAACACATACGAATGCAAAATACCATATACATATGTATGTACATACATACATCAATTAACCTAAAGAGGTATTTGTACGCTTATCAATTGATGGGGCTGGCGCGTGTTTACCTTCCACGAATTTTTGTGCTGATTTGTCCGCATTTCGCTTTAGTGCTATTCTACTTTGATAGTAGGAGTACAGTATAATACCAAACTAATGATCTTTACCAAAGCACTGCAAGACACATACAATTGTACATATTTATATAGCTATATCTCCATTGTAGTTCCATGTTGTTAAGTATTGCGTGATTGGGTGATGGCTTCAGATCCAATTGGATGGTATATATTAATATAATATTTTATGATTCGCTCTTCGGAATCTTTACTGTATAAGCTCTAGTGCTCGCTAGTTGTGGGAATTTGGCGAGCAACCTGAAATCAGCTGATATAAATAGGGGATGGTGGGCAGGCGAGTTCATTGATTAAAGAAAAAGTCCAGCTGACGTTGCCGTTTCCTTCTTTGTCAATCTTATCATATCGGTGGCAGTGACAGTAGCAACAACAATAGCATGAACCAATTTAAAATATGACTATATTTTTGTATGTATGTATCTGTAAATGTTAGAATACGGTATACATATATTGAATGTGAAGTATACAAAAATAAATTCAGCTTAAATATAAAATGATTGATTTATGATCATGAACTTTATGTAGTATATGCATATTCATACATGCCGTACTTACATTCCGTATCATTGTTACTGCGTATATATTATATTATATATGTATGTATATACACACACATATTTATGTATTTTCAACGTATATATGTACATTCATGTGGATGTTCTAGAGCACGCAGTTGGCTCAAAGTTCAGAGACATTTTATTTGAATCATGGGCAATCGTCGTCAGCTGAGATACTTGCATACATACTTATATACATATATATTTCGATGAAGTGGTCACTCATTGGGCAAAGTCTTCGTGCGGTGTGTTACCGAGTTGTGCTAAAAAGTGACAGCAGCAATAAGTCCCAACAAAACCGGCATTGTTTAGTGCTAAACAAAGGAACAAATAAACAAACAAATCAAATGCCAAAGGGCACTTTAGTGTTCGTGTGTGATAGGCATACATACATAAAATAAGTAATCTAAATGTACACACATAAATCAAAGTAATAAAAGTAACAAAAGTTATTATCAGGATAGTTGGCAAATTATGTTATATATATTGTATTAAAATCAGATCTGATTGTCTTAACGTCAATTAAGATTGCCTTACATGCATGTATGTATTAACCAAAAAAGATATGTACATACGAGTGTATGAATATAAGTAATGGTTTGATTAATAGAAATTTCTTAATTTCAATTTCAATTTCTTATAGGTCTTGTTACTACACTTTCAGTAATTAAACTCAACCCTTATGCAAATTAATTCTGTGACACTGTGACCCACTCGTGAGAGCGTGCTTACAGTGAAGTATACAAAGCGCTCTCGCTTCCATAATTCTGTTTGTCTTACGTCATGCACAACGTTAAGATTTTAGCTAATGCAGCATCCGCATCTGTTCTCTGCTTATTTATTCATTTTCAGCTTAAATTAGGAAGTACATACAATTGGTTTTCAAAATGCAATGCATTTGTAATAATCTGAAAAATCTTGTCCTTATAAATACTTTGTGAATTTCGAGAAAGTATTAGCTTTCATTTTTGTTTATTTTACGTAATTTATTTAAATCTTTTTTTTTTTTAATTAGTATCTGTCAAAATTGCACGACTGTTAAGAGCTTGACCAACCTATCTGGTCTACCTCTCTCGCTAAGCAAAAATCAGTGGTGGGGCGAGTTTAAGTCTTGGTAACAAAGGTTGAGCCATGTTCATAGTCAATAATGGGTTGAACAGAATAATTTCTGTGTATTAACGAAGCTACTTGTATGACTTTAAAGTCACATTTATTAGATAACATGATTATTTAATGGATAAGTGCGAATTGAAGAGACAGAAAAGATAGAGAGTGAGATTTTAGATTCAGGCAGTCACAAATTATCCATGTTTTTAATTAAATGCTTTACAAGTCTGGAATTTTAATTAGATTGTCGTGCTTCACGTAGAACGTTTTAGATTTCGAGGTGGCGGTTTTATTTTTCATGGGCGCAAATTCATCGAAGGTCAACGCACCGATCACTCATTGAATTACAATTACGAACTGTTTGTTTACAATTAAACGATTATATTAATTTTATTTACTGTATTTGTTTCAGAATTTTTCTATTGAAAATTAGCGAAATGACTGGATCAGGTGAATATATGCATTATTAGAATTAAGAAAATGTTTGTCTTTTTATACCCTGAACCCATTAAAAATGTGTAAAATGGATATAAAGTATTTGTGCAACTGTAGGAAGCATCTCCGACCCCAAAAAGTATGTATATTCTTGATCAGGATCAACAGCCGAGTCGATCTAGCCATGCACGTCTGTCTGTCCATATGTATGAACGCAAGGATCTCAGATTCTATAAGAGCTAGACGCTACCAACTAGAACCTCTTACTTGTTTTTTATTATAAATTACACACTTAGTAATTTCTACAAAACGTCTATCCTGGTTAAGTGCGTTAAGACTCCGTCGAATATAAAAAACTTTAACAATTTTATATCTAGCAGGTTATCATATTTTTTTCACAGAAAAGCAGGTAACAGTTGCGATCCCATAAGGTATATATAAATATATCTATATATATATATGTATATATACATTCTATGAAAACTAGTCCCTTAGTTTTAAAACTATTTTTAATAATTATGGCCTCCGCCATTTCTAACCATTTGATCCGTAGGCTGCTATAGGAACGATGTCTAAAGAAATGAGCTTTTAAGTTGTATTGTTCCATATATTTAATTTTGTATTAATAAATGGTCGACAAAACAAGCATTTAGTACCTAAACAGAATCTAAAAGTTTAATAACTTCAGTGGCGTCTTTAGAACCTAGAATAAGGATTAGTAGGAAAATATGAATGGCAGAAATCATCTGGATTACCTATGATAATCGTGATGATGACTGGACATGATCTGCGAGACAATTTATACATTAAGGCACACTTTCTCTTGCTCAGCGTTTCTTTCGAGCACTCCCGAATAGAACAATCTTACAATTAAAATAAAAACTTTTGTATAAATATTTACAGTACACGATCCGAAATGGAGCCTGGAGCGAAGAGAATCTTCAGGTCATTTGGTGTGGCGTAAAGAGTCACCATCATCGAAGGTACGATTTCGTTTCGACGTGGAAGTCTTGGAATTCGAAAAACACCCAAACGAGGAACTGGATCACAAAGAAGAGCACTTCTCGATCACAAACCTATCATCAACGATTGCCCTCTGTGCCACATGTGTAGCCGTTGTTGCTGCATCTGTATTCCTGCCCTGGTACCTCATGGAAAAGGTCGGATCGTTGTAAAAGCAGTGCGATGGCATAAGAATGTGCATTGTATATCACTTGACGGTATTAAGTAGGATTATGTATATAAACGTGCATAGATTTAAGTAATATTACAATGTGTAAATATGAGTGTAAATAATGCGTAATAGACCTAAAACTAAGGCTTTAAATGCAAATTATAACAGACTGTTTGCAATAAAATGATTTCATTTCAATGAACAGAAATTATATTCAAATGCATATACAAACATCTATTGAAAGATAAACAAATATAATGAACAAATAGCACATATCCCACTCTTCATGTACGTACATAAAGTACATACAAGATTTTTGTCCCGCTGTGATACCGTGTGAAATTCTCTATAAAAATAAATCTATAGACCATTTTCCCTTGTCCTGTGCAGGGTTAGGCATTAAGTAAATGCATGAATATATGTATAGTATCGAAATGTAGACTGAATGCCTTCGTAGCAATTAGTTCATTTATGGTCAGAAAACAAGGCAAACCGTTAGGTATAAACGCTTGTGAATTATATAAGCCAAACAAGTGATTGTATCTCTGAATATAGCTGTGTATAGAGCATATATAGCTTTAGGTCGCTTAGCTCGTGCGATGAGCTTAGTTAATTGTATCTCAAGGTTGTTAACATTTCACTAAACTAAGTGAATTTATATTATACTTTTGCTTACAATTTGCTTTACTCATTTCCGTAACGTATACAAATTTTAATTTATCGGTACTATTTCAAATTACATTTAACATTTAAAAATGTGTGTTCAACCCTATCGAATCAAGAACAAAAAGCTTTAATCAAAATTTTTCGCCCATTTTAGTGCCGTGGTGTGTAGTTTATAGTAGAAAAAACTTTCGTCTAACAACCTTAGGAAACAGAATATTTTGCAATAAAAAAACTAATTTTTCTACCGATTTTTCTATATATATATATATACAATATCGAAATGTGACATTGATTAGATTTGGGTCATATGAAAGAAGCAAAGTTTTACCAATAAATCCGGAATTTGGTCAAGACATCTTGATAAACAAAAATGTTCTGCATAGCAGAACTTAATTTTCGACCGATTGATCCTATGAGAGCAAGGTGTTCCGACGTAAAACTAAACTAAGTAAAGCTAACATATGAACAAAAATATTCTCCATACAAAAATCTAATATTCCAGCTATGTGATATAGAGTTTTCCATACTAGAGAACAAAGAGTTTTCAATATTAGAGAACCTACTTTTAGACCGACTGGTCTTATGGCAGCTATATGAAATAGGGGGCCAAAACGACCAGAAAGACGGACCTATGCGAATCAACTCGGCTGTTGATACTGATATAGTGTTCTATATTAGTACATACCTTTATAGGGTCTCCTTCAATTTGTTACACATTTCGTGACAATTATAATATCCTCTAGAAGCATATAAAAATGTATTCCAGGCACTTCTCTCAAAATGGAAAAAAACTCACTTCAGGCTAAAGCCTTGTGAATTTTTATATACATACATTTGAATGCTAAAATTATACTTTTAAAATTTTCCACGTTGGATTAATCGGGCTAAGAGATTGACATGAAATTCGACCAAAAATTTTGTTCTCAGATTTAAATGCCCGATTAATCTAGGGGGAAAACCATGAAGAAAAAGCTAAGCCTCGTGAAAATCGGTTGAGTTTTGACCGAGTTATGTGAATGGGAAATTTCGACCCATGTCTATGTCCAAAACTAGGTCTATATCCAAAACTAGGCTAAGATTTTGACATGAAATTCGACCAAAAATGTTGTTCTCAGATTTAAATGCCCGATTAATCTATGGGCAAAACCATGAAGAAAAAGACAAGCCCCGTGAAAATCGGTTGAGTTTTGACCGAGTTATGTGAATGGGAAATTTCGACCCATGTCTATGTCCAAAACTAGGGCTAAGATTTTGACATGAAATTCGACCAAAAATTTTGTTCTCAGATTTAAATGCCCGATTAATCTATGGGGGAAACCATGAAGAAAAAGCTAAGCCCCGTGAAAATCGGTTGAGTTTTGACCGAGTCATGGGAATGGGAAATTTCGACACATGTCTATGTCCAAAACTAGGCTAAGATTTTGACATGAAATTCGACTAAAAATTTTGTTCTCAGATTTAAATGCCCGATTAATCTATGGGGAAAACCATGAAGAAAAAGCTAAGCCCCGTGAAAATCGGTTGAGTTTTGACCGAGTTATGTGAATGGGAAATTTCGACCCATGTCTAGATCCAAAACTAGGTCTATGTCCAAAACTAGGCTAAGATTTTGACATGAAATTCGACCAAAAATTTTGTTCTCAGATTTAAATGCCCGATTAATCTATGGGGAAAACCATGAAGAAAAAGCTAAGCCTTGTGAAAATCGGTTGAGTTTTGACCGAGTTATGTGAATGGGAAATTTCGACCCATGTCTATGTCCAAAACTATGTCTATGTCCAAAACTAGGGCTGAGATTTTGACATGAAATTCGACTAAAAATTTTGTTCTCAGATTTAAATGCCCGATTAATCTAGGGGGAAAACCATGAAGAAAAAGCCAAGCCCCGTGAAAATCGGTTGAGTTTTGACCAACTTATGGGGGTGGGAAATTTCGACCCATGTCTATATACGAATCTTAAAGGTATGATTTTGACATGAAATTCGACTAAAAATTTTGTTCTCAGATTTAAATGCCCGATTAATCTAGGGGGAAAACCATGAAGAAAAAGCTAAGCCTCGTGAAAATCGGTTGAGTTTTGACCGAGTTATGTGAATGGGAAATTTCGACCCATGTCTATGTCCAAAACTAGGGCTAAGATTTTGACATGAAATTCGACCAAAAATTTTGTTCTCAGATTTAAATGCCCGATTAATCTAGGGGGAAAACCATGAAGAAAAAGCTAAGCCCCGTGAAAATCGGTTGAGTTTTGACCGAGTTATGGGAATGGGAAATTTCGACACATGTCTATGTCCAAAACTAGGCTAAGATTTTGACTTGAAATTCGACTAAAAATTTTGTTCTCAGATTTAAATGCCCGATTAATCTAGGGGGAAAACCATGAAGAAAAAGCTAAGCCTCGTGAAAATCGGTTGAGTTTTGACCGAGTTATGTGAATGGGAAATTTCGACCCATGTCTATGTCCAAAACTAGGGCTAAGATTTTGACATGAAATTCGACAAAAATTTTGTTCTTAGATTTAAATGCCCGATTAATCTATGGGGAAAACCATGAAGAAAAAGCTAAGCCCCGTGAAAATCGGTTGAGTTTTGACCGAGTTATGTGAATGGGAAATTTCGACACATGTCTATGTCCAAAACTAGGCTAAGATTTTGACATGAAATTCGACCAAAAATTTTGTTCTCAGATTTAAATGCCCGATTAATCTAGGGGGAAAACCATGAAGAAAAAGCTAAGCCTCGTGAAAATCGGTTGAGTTTTGACCGAGTCATGGGAATGGGAAATTTTGACACATGTCTATGTCCAAAACTAGGTCTATGTCCAAAACTAGGCTAAGATTTTGACATGAAATTCGACTAAAAATTTTGTTCTCAGATTTAAATGCCCGATTAATCTAGGGGGAAAACCATGAAGAAAAAGCTAAGCCTCGTGAAAATCGGTTGAGTTTTGACCGAGTTATGTGAATGGGAAATTTCGACCCATGTCTATATACGAATCTTAAGGGTATGATTTTGACATGAAATTCGACTAAAAATTTTGTTCTCAGATTTAAATGCCCGATAATTCTAGGGGGAAACCATGAAGAAAAAGCTAAGCCCCGTGAAAATCGGTTGAGTTTTGACCGAGTTATGTGAATGGGAAATTTCGACCCATGTCTATGTCCAAAACTAGGTCTATGTCCAAAACTAGGTTAACATTTTGACATGAAATTCGACCAAAAATTATGTTCTCAGATTTAAATGCCCGATTAATCTAGGGGGAAAACCATGAAGAAAAACCCAAGCCCCGTGAAAATCGGTTGAGTTTTGACCAAGTTATGTGAATAGGAAATTTCGACCCATGTCTATGTCCAAAACTAGGTCTATGTCCAAAACTAGGCTGAGATTTTGACATGAAATTCGACCAAAAATTTTGTTCTCAGATTTAAATGCCCGATTAATCTAGGGGGAAAACCATGAAGAAAAAGCTAAGCCTCGTGAAAATCGGTTGAGTCTTGACCGAGTTATGTGAATGGGAAATTTCGACCCATGTCTATGTCCAAAACTAGGTCTATGTCCAAAACTAGGCTGAGATTTTGACATGAAATTCGACTAAAAATTTTGTTCTCAGATTTAAATGCCCGATTAATCTAGGGGGAAAACCATGAAGAAAAAGCTAAGCCTCGTGAAAATCGGTTGAGTTTTGACCGAGTTATGTGAATGGGAAATTTCGACCCATGTCTATGTCCAAAACTAGGGCTAAGATTTTGACATGAAATTCGACAAAAATTTTGTTCTTAGATTTAAATGCCCGATTAATCTATGGGGAAAACCATGAAGAAAAAGCTAAGCCCCGTGAAAATCGGTTGAGTTTTGACCGAGTTATGTGAATGGGAAATTTCGACACATGTCTATGTCCAAAACTAGGCTAAGATTTTGACATGAAATTCGACCAAAAATTTTGTTCTCAGATTTAAATGCCCGATTAATCTATGGGGAAAACCATGAAGAAAAAGCTAAGCCCCGTGAAAATCGATTGAGTTTTGACCGAGTCATGTGAATGGGAAATTTCGACACATGTCTATGTCCAAAACTAGGCTAAGATTTTGACATGAAATTCGACCAAAAATTGTGTTCTCAGATTTAAATGCCCGATTAATCTAGGGGGAAAACCATGAAGAAAAAGCTAAGCCTCGTGAAAATCGGTTGAGTTTTGACCGAGTTATGTGAATGGGAAATTTCGACCCATGTCTATGTCCAAAACTAGGGCTAAGATTTTGACATGAAATTCGACAAAAATTTTGTTCTTAGATTTAAATGCCCGATTAATCTATGGGGAAAACCATGAAGAAAAAGCTAAGCCCCGTGAAAATCGGTTGAGTTTTGACCGAGTTATGTGAATGGGAAATTTCGACACATGTCTATGTCCAAAACTAGGCTAAGATTTTGACATGAAATTCGACCAAAAATTTTGTTCTCAGATTTAAATGCCCGATTAATCTATGGGGAAAACCATGAAGAAAAAGCTAAGCCCCGTGAAAATCGATTGAGTTTTGAC